ATAGGATATGATATTAGTCAAAGATTTTTGAAGGGTCTTCCTCGCTGATGTTTACCTAATTGATATTTTTGAGTAGGTTGTAGTTGGATGAAGTTGTAATAGCTTATTTTGTTGCAGTTTCAACTTTAGCATTTTGCACACAGGCACACATACCCCTGTCAAGCCATATATTTGTTTACAGTTTTTCTAATAGTCTATAAAGTAGACTGTGTTTTTTCAGTGTATATTAAGTCTCATTATGATATACCCTCAGTTTCTACCACACAGGGGCTATTCTGTTATAGACAAAAAGAGAATTTAGTTTTCACATATATATTGACTTTTCAAGTCAAGCCTAGATTCTTGGTTAAATGGTTATGGTAATTGGAGCATATTGATCTGTGAAGTATGTTGGCTTTAATCAGAATTTGAATTACCGACTACAGATAGGCTATTTGGCTAATGATCTCTTCTGTCCATTGGAATAATTCAGGGAAGATTCGTATTTTTTCTTGTGCTTTATTTCACACAGAGATTGTAACTGGGATGAAATTCAGTAATGACTGCAAACATCTGATCTCTGTTTCTGGTGACAGGTAAGAGGTGTTTTCTTGTTTGTGACATTTGGCTTATGCCATTTCACACTGGATGTAACATGTCTTTAAGGAAGGTGGAATTATTTTTTTAAATGAGGGATGTTTTATGAATTCCAAATAAACCTTGGAGCTTTCTGAATCCTGAATGTGTGCTGTTGGCAAAGCTCATAGGGCTTTATATTATCCTTTCATGGAATGAGGTGCCCATGGGAAGTACTCCCTTTTTCTGAGTGTAAGTACTGAGACAGGTATGTGGCCTGTTTCTTTACCAGCCTTCAAGTCTGTAATGTAAGGCAACTTGTGATAGTTTTACCAGTGGTGCCAAAACTTTTTCTTGCAGTACTCCTGTTGGTGAGGTTTCACCAGGTGAGAGCCTGTCTAGCACCAAAAGGGACAGGTCCATCCCCACTCTTTGGTCGTGTCCATATGGTCCTGTTCCTTGCTGTCCTGAGTCAGCTGTGGTGTAGATTGATCTCTCAGTCAGCTGATTCAGGTCACTACATCAGCATTCCTCCCAGTTAATTTTCTGCTCACTTAGTGAGCTAAATCAGTTCACTAAAAGCTTAAGTAATCACCAGACTGAGCCTAAAGGGAAAAGGAGAACATATGTCTAATATGATGATTGTAGAGGTGAGTGGACCCACTATTTCTGAAATCAGTGAATGCTTAAATCGGCTGAACTGAATACAATTTTTTCTTTGAGAAAGATGTTTCCTGGAGTGCTATTGCAAGTCCAGAGCAACCTACATTCTCTTTCCTTTTCTTCTTTTATTAATAAAATACAATTGAATCAGAAAGAGTTTTAGATGGTCAGTTGTTACAGAATATACCATGTATCACCCTAAATCTCACCAGCTGTTTTTTTCTGTCTTTCAGTAAAAAATAAATAATTTAGTTTTCCTCTTTCTTTACCTTTCATGTGTTTAAACAGATTAGAGAAAAAGTTACTAGAGAGAGTCCTCTTGTTGTGGACTTCTGAGAAATTCTGGAAACATGAAAGGTTTGAAGTCCCCAGTGATCCTTGTGGTTTAGTGCAGCATTCCCTTATTGTCATTTCCTTGAGCAAAAGGGTAATTTTCTTTACTAAGTGTGTGGAGGAGGTGGCTGAGCAGTGAGGAAAGGATTTATGAAGAACTTTGCTGTAAGGAGATGAGAAAGTGTGTTTGTCAAAGGAGAACAGGGAAAATATTCTGTTCACACACAGTAGCATGTGCAAAGAATAAAACTGAGAATAGAAATTAAAATGGAGATGAGAAAGGGCACAAGGACTGAGAGATCCATGTGAGAAAAGTATTGCAAGGTAAAAAAAAACTGAAACCAAAATACCCCACAACCCCAGCCAAAAAAAAAAAACCAAACAGGGAAAAGGGGTAGGTGGGAGCATGCCTCTACAGAGTTTGCACTGAATGCTGTGTATTCACAAGTTCATGTTGTTTGCTACTTATCTCTAGGTTTGATAGCTGAGGGGGTGGGATAAATGAACAAGCCAGATTTGCTCTCAAAATTTTGTTTCTTGCTTTTCAGTATTTTTTCAGCAGCAGATTATGGTTGCTGTTAGTTCAAGAGAGCTGCTGCTTGAGGGGAAGCAGCTGTTTGCTCTGGGTTGCCATAGTTGCCAGGCACAGTACCTCACCCTTTTCTCCTGGCTGAAAAGCTACAGTGGGAGGATGACACTGTCTGTGTGATTGCAGTAGCTGGGAGTGATGCTCCTGAGCATGGCACCGGGGGCAAGAAGGGAATTTTTAGTTTTTCAGTAAAATCTCCACATACTTCAAAGAGGGGTTTATGTTTTCTTTTGTGTGGTATGGAAATTAAAACCTTTTAAACTGTCTCCTAATGAGAGGAGAAAATGGAGAAGATTCAAGCATTTGGGATCCTGATGCTTTTGACATTTCCCTCAGGTGAAGGAGACCAAAGTTCACAGCAATTGTTCAAAATGGCAAAGCAAATTAAATTTTACAGATTACCAAGTCAGAGGGAGAAGTCACTCATTGAAAAATCTTCTGTGAATTGGGAGTACCCATGAGTATGCTGGGTCTTGAAGAACTGGATTAAATGCTCTTTGAATTCCAAAGTAGGGTGCAGGATTTTTTAAGTGATAGCAAAAGCACCACCTGTATTTCTACATCAGTGTAAGTATACCCAGCTAGACAGGAAAGATGGCTGAGATGAAAAGAATTAGTTAGCACTGAGGTTAAATTTCAAAGACAATGCTGGTCATTTTACATTCTAGTAGCTGATGATGAGATACAGTATTCTCTAATGTGATGAGGAATGTCTATTTTTTTTAGTGGATTTTTGAAGAAAATGAGACCACACTGTTTCTGTCACCCAAACACTTTTGAATCCATTGGCCAAATTCAATCAAATTCCTTGGAAGTGTCCTGGAGGGAGTCCAAGTTAAATATTAGGAGCAACCTGATGCAAAAATTACTGCCACATAAGCTTAACTGTTATTATACCACAGACTCCATGGAATGATGGGCATCAGGAAGGCATTGCCCGTGGGGGTAGTAGCAATCAGAGGCTGCAGTTTAGCCACTGTTAGAGGATGCAAAGGGCATCTCTAGGGCTTACTTATCCTCCTGACCACAAGAAGGACTTCTAATGGCATTTTCTTCAGCAGCTGGTAAGATAGTCAAATAAAAGTATGGGATCACAGATAAATCTGTGCAAATGTCTCTGCAGTTGCTTTCACTCACAGGGAGTCTTTGCCAGGCAGGTTTTACTCTTTTGTCATGAGGCTTGTGCTGAGATTGAGTTTCTGTGAAGCTGTTTGTGCGTGTGTCTCCCTGTCATGGACAGAAGGGCTCTTGTTTGTCTCTGCAGTGGGAATTAGTATCAATAAACCGAACTGAGATTTAATCCCAGCCTCACCTTTCCCTCTTTCAGCTGTATCTTCATCTGGCGACTGAGCTCAGAGATGACCATCAACATGCGGCAGCGCCTGTCTGATATGAAACAGAGAGGGAAGCAGGCAGAGAAGTCTCCTACTCACAAGGCAGCTGGACTCATGAGGTAAGCAGAGCAGACTGATTAGAGATGGCTGGCTTTGTCGGGTAGAATGTGAAAAATGTGGCACTGAGGTTCAACTGTAAGGTTTCTGCTGTCTTCACCGACAGTGTCTTCCAAAAGTTCTCCTATTCTTCTGTTGGATTTGCCATGGGTTTTGTGTCCCCTTCTTTGGATACAGAAACGAGACCGTGATCTTCCAGACAGACTTAGTGTGCTTCACTGATCTTACGTGTATGCAATGCCCCTTGTGTCTTAATTTAGTTTAATAATGTGGTCAGATACAAGTTCACCTAGGAATACTGAGGATGGTACACAGCATCCCACCAGGGAATCCATGCTCCTTCATGAATAAAGCTCTCTGGATCTAAACTGAATGCAAGTTAAAGGCTGTTTCCGCAGTATCAGTACTGAAGTACACCTGTAAGCTCTACAAGTTTACTATGTTGGTCATAATTCTGAAAGAATTCTTAGAGTTGTGCTGTTTCTTTGTTAACTATTTTCTGGAGGCTTTGGAAAACTCACCCAAAATATAATTATAAATAATAAATATATAAATAAATTAAATGGGAAGAGCTCTTGGCAGATAAATCATGTTATTTTTTGCTCAGTAAACAACATATCTAAAAACAAACTACCACAGCCTACAAACTCAATAGATCTAAATTTGTCTGGTGACCTTTCTTTAAAAAGTCATGTGTCTGTTTTAACACAGAACAAGAGCAACAGAGGATTTTGGGTTATTAGTGTAATGTATTTGGTTTCTCTGTAGTTTGTAAGTAGCTGAGACTAGTTTGACTGCAAGCAGTGCAGAAGAGAGTCCTGACCAAGCTGATAGGAGATCATAGTGGGGAAAAAAAAGAAGAAACAGGTTTTTTGTTTCTTTGTCACACAATTTGCCTCCTCCAAATGATTACAAATTGAGTTCTGGATATAAATGTACTAAAGCATTGGAGGATTTACCACACTGGTTGCTGAGTGTCACAAGGACCTTCCCACTCCTTCTGGAGGCAAGCAATGTTGAAACAAGTCTGTCTGCATAGTTTTGTTTTGGAAAGTCTTGATTTGCTCATTGTTGAAATGCGTATTGTCTAGTAAGTGCTTTTGGTAATGATGCTGGGAAGACTCAGCAAGCCTTTTTTCTAGCCAGAATTCTGAATCTGTCAAGCACTGTGCTTTTTATAGCAGTCTCTCCATTATTCCAGCAGCTGCAGCCTTACCCTACTGAGGCTCAGCCTGTGACAGATAATCCCAGACCTCTTCCATGTGAGGTGATACTTGTTTCCGTCACAGACGCTTACTGAAGGGCGGTGTTAGTGCCACGCCAAGCCCAGAACTCTATCAAACTTGTTTGGTAACCTCTTTGAAAGCCTGGAATCTACTTGTTTGGTCAGCTTTGAAAGCTTATTTTCAGTTTTGATCAGACTCTGTGGTGGACATAACTCCAGAGCACTTTGGATTAGGACTGAAGATGGAAGAAGAGCCTGTTGGACCAGCATTATTGAGGTGGGAGAAGGAAAACTAATGAAAAGTTCTAAGATTGGTTTTCTAGATGCCGTATACTTGTTCTGGTTGTGTTTCCAAAGTTTGTCTGTGTAGACTGCAGTGGAGAGTTGAGTTGCACCTTGTGGTGTAAAACTGTTATCTGTAAAGATTGATAGCAGTATAAGAAAGCTCACTGCCTGGTGATAAGTCATTTGTTATACTAGATTTTCTCTAGGAATGTATTGCTAGAATTTGGTGAGGGAAGTAACACATTCTGCTAGTTCCATGGTATGAGTGTATTATGGAATGAATAATCAGAATAATACTGGGGAAACAAAACTGGTCTGAGGAAGTAGTGGGAGCTGAAGGTTTCCAATTCAGGACAGTGCTGTCTCTATCTAGTTGCGACTGTCAGGGCACAAATTGGCACAGGTGAGTAACATCTGGAGTGTAAACACACAGAAGACACCTTTTTGGGCCAAACCAGTGCTCCACACAGCCCAGTATTCTGCCTGTGACTGTGGCAATGGAAGATGCTATTTAGTCAGACATTGAGTGAGCCTTGCTATAGGAACATTTGTGGTCCATTTGCCTTATGGTCAGTTGTTGTATCCTGATAGGAGTTGCATCTCTACCTGTTCCCTTTAGTATTTGGTAATGGGCCCATTGTCCACTGAGTTTGTATAAATTCTTTTTGAACTTGGTGATAATATCTGCCTCTGCAGCCTGCTTTGGTGACAAGTTCCCAGACTTTACTGCTCTCTGTGGAAAGGACTTTTTTTTGTCTCTGTTAAAACACATTCCTATTAGTTTTGTTGAAAGCTCTTGGCTTCTGAATATTGTAAGCTCTGGTGAACTACTGTCCTGTATCCAACTATTGGTAGTGTCCATGTTTTTGTAAGCCTTTATCACAACCCTCTCCATCTAACCTGCTCTCTGAGTCCCAGCCTTTTCAGTTTCTCCAAGAACTTTTAGAGAGACTAAAATTTCTCCTCTGAATGATTTCTCTGACTCACCTTTATGGGACATTGTATTATCTTGGAACTGATCTGACTTGTATGACCCACATAGTTCTCCACAGTGCCACTGAGAGCCTTTCAGTTCTGCCTCTGGTGGTGATAACTGCACATGTGTGCTTTTTTCTGAACTTAAGGAACTTTGGTCAGGATAACAGAAATTGTATTCAGCTGATATCACTGGTAATTTTTCGTTTTAAGGCTTTTATATTTTAATGAAAGATTCATGTAAAGGCCTTTTATTAGGGTTTTGATTTTGATCCAAGCATGCATTTATAGTTTTGAAAAGCTTATATCAAATTTTTGAAAGGCAAGTTTTAAACTGATGTTACTGTGGTATGTTTGCAGTCATGTTTTAACTGAACATTTTATACAAATTAATTTTAAAAATCATTTTTTCTGTGGCTTTCATTGGAGCTCTAGTATAAATAGCAGGAGATAAAAATGTTATCCAAATTGTCTTAAATAAATTGTCAAATTAATTAAAAGTTATATATCTATGCTGCAGAAGTACCATGTGCTGTCAGATATATTTGGAAAGAAATGCTCCTTATGAAATTTTCAGGGAGTCTAGTCCAGTCTGGGAAAGCTGTGTTGTTTCCAGGGCTCAGAATGGGGCAGGCTTTTGATGCTGTGTCAGAAGTGGTGCCTGAGTCTCTGCTGAACTGCTGCAGTTATACCAGGGAAACTCTGACATCAGCAGCACTGTGTTCTTTCTGTGAGGAACAGCAGGGTCACATTCTTGTTTAAATAGGCATTTTGTGTGTGTGTGTGAATCTACTAGTGATCAATACTACATAGGATGTTACAGTTTCATAAATATGTCCCTAATGCTGAGAGTTTCAGTAGCACAAGATCAGAGTGGACATGCTGACAACATAACTCTTTAAATGAATAGTTGCCATTCTTACCTGGTTTGTTCTGTTTTAAGAAAAGAAAGAAGGGTTGCATTCAGGTCATGCAAAATAATACAGAGTACCTACATCAGATACCTTAATACTAGAATTCCATAATGACGTGTGGCACTTTTAAGTTTGTATATGTGTCCTGAAGGCTTTCTAACTGAAGGTCCTTCTCTGCCATTGACCCCATACTTCAGACTCCAACCCTTCAGAAACTAGGAGCTGAAGGGTAACTGACTCTGCTGACTCATACAGTATAAGATCCAGGTTGTGGTGAGGTGGGGTTGGTCTCTTCTGCTAGGCAACTAGCAGTAGGACAACAAGGGGAAATGACATCAAGTTGTGCAAAGGGAAATTCAAGATATCAGGAAAAATTTTTTCACTGCAAAAGTGGTTAAGCATTGGAACAGGCTCCCCAGAGAGGTGGTGGAGTCACCATCCCTGGAAGTGTTCAAAAAATGAGTTTACATGACACTTCATGATATGGTTTAGTGGGCATGGTGGTATTTGGTTAAGGTTGGACTTGATGGTCTTGGAGATCTTTTCCAACTGTTACGATTCTATGGTACTAGAATGGGATAGTTCCTTAGAAAAGAAGATGAGCAAGGATAATTAAAACACTTGCTCTGAGTCACATGTATCATGAGAATTAGGCATGTCTGTACGTGCTATTCTGGAATAGCTACTCAAACATTCATGTTGGTATAATGATACTTTGAGGTTTGGCTGAACCTGCTCTCAGCGGGAATTCAACAAAACCCAGAAGTCTTACTCCTTCATTTTCAAAATGCTCTCATGTGGTGCTTACTTGGAAACAGCTCCTGTGCTTGAAAACTCACTGTACATTGTTCTGACTCCCATCTAAGCATGAAAAAGAACTGAGTGTTGAGGAAATGTGCGCAACAGAGGGGTTTAGAAGAAAATCTAAAGTGCATATAGAAAGGCAAGGAGAATGTGAAGTCTGAATGGAGAGATTGACCTGGGAAGAACAACAGTTAAAACACTCAAGACCCTGTGAAACTAGGTTTCATTTCAGGAGTATCTCAGTTTCAAGTCAGTGGGCCTAAGATCCTTCTGAAAACCCCATTCAGCATTTCTCGTCAAGTCACAGGACAGAGTTTCAAAGCATACTTGAGTTGTAAAAAGGAGAGAGGCATGAATTTTTGTGGGATAATGCAAGGTAACCTTATATTTGTAGCAAGCGCATATGACTTCATAATTTATCACCTCCTGTGAGGTATGAAAAAACGCCCATCCGACTTCCAAAATATGTTTTGCATTCTCTTGCTCTGCTACTTTGAGGATACTGGAATATACTTTTTCTCCCCTTAGTAATTTTGTCAGTCTCTGGGGCCATCTTTCTATTTGTAACATCAAACACATGGAGAGCATTCTTCCCTTCTCCATTTACACCTATGAAAGTACACATAGGAGTTTAGCAATCACTTAACCTTGCCATATCACCTCATCATAGTGAGGTATTCAATAAGTTACATATTAAAATGTCTAAATCCAACCCTTCTGTCTCAATAAACTCTTCAAACAACTATGATGAATACAAGCAGAAGGATGTTATTAAAGTTACTAATACAAAGTTAATATTGCCTACCATATATAAATGTAATATAAGTCACAAGATGAAACATGGCGTAACCTTGAATGTACTGTGGTGCTTGGACTTTGTTGGGATTCTCCTGCTTAGACACAAGAACCTGAGAGTGACAAGATGGGCATATGAGGAGACGGTAGAAAAGATTAAGAGACTGACAAACTCAAATGTTAAAAGTAGATGAGGATGGCCAGTATGAAACTGTTTCGCCAGAGAGGCTATAGTCAGTTTCACTCTTCTTTTTGCCAGAATGCCTCAAAGCTCATCTGAAAGGGTTGCATAGTTACTGCTCAGACACTCCTAATAAAATGGAAATTAATGTTCTGCCACTATATGGGAAGAGAAAATATTAAAATACCTTAACTACTTCTTGCCATCTTTCAATACTGTCAGCTGCAGGAGAAGTTGGTCCTTTGCCAGACAGCTCTGTTTGTGGTGGACGAGCTATTTTTATTTCATGAATAATGCTTCACACTCAACACCCACCAGTGATATCCCATAAATGTCACTTGTGATGAGTCTTGGCACTGTAGCTCAAGGCCATGGAGTGGGTGCTACTCAAATGTAGTTGTTGGTGATTCTTCTTTGTTCAATTATTTTCCAAAGGGGGTTATTTCTTCTGGTTCTGTGGACTGAAAGGGTGAGGGGAGGAAGGGGAAGAAGAGAAGAAAGAGGGAGGATAGAGCTTAGTGTGGGTAAGTGTCCTTGATTGGTATTGGACAATTCTATTCTGAGAGTGCCTCTGAGGTCTGTGTGGTAAAACTTGTCTTGGTCTACTTTAATCAAAGATCTGCCAACATATGTTTTACATGATCCTTGTGCTTGAAGTCTAAAATAGTCAGCACAGTGCTCTTATGATGAGTGGGCTGTGCCTTCAGGTTCTGTCTGGCGCAATCCTTGAAATGAACCTGTGTTTTATGGGATAATTTGCCATAAACACAATTACTTTCAAACAAAGAGTATCTCTGTGATATTTTTGATATGTAAAACAGTTCCAGAGAGTAAATGCTTAAGGGTGGGAAAAATATTTGCCTCTCAAATATGTTCTACCATCTTGACCTTATCAATGGGCAGAGTCTGAAATGGAAGGCCAAGTTTCATTCCATTTGACTTTCTCAGACTTGTTTACTTCTGTGCTAATTTCTGTCATTCTTCCACATATATGAGATGATTGCTGTGGCAGACTCTACACACCTTTGTGCAGGGTTTAGCTTGCCCTGTTTCTCAGAGATGGGATGTGCTAATGTGAGGGCTGTTTGGGAGAGCTGAGGCAGCCTGCTGAGTGTGGATGGAGATACAGTGGAGAACTGCCTGGTTAAGGATTGAAATAGTGGGCAATTCTTGAGATAGACCATAATACTCCTTCCAATTCCTGCCTTCTAGGCACGAGTCCATCTCTGCCCTGTCCTCTGTGCCTGCGCTCTCATCAGACAGTGACAAGGATGGTGAAGATGAAGGGAATGATGAGGATGAGTTACGTGGACTGCAGTCTTTCCATATTCAGTCCAACTGCAACACTGAGAGAGACTCAGGTATAAATGGGAGAGGAGCATGGGCAGAAATGGAGGAAAATGGCATGAATGTGAAGCAGAGAGAAGAGGAGAGACACTGATTTAGGGATATCAAGATACGGGCAGAAAGAGAAAGACGGAGACAGAAAGAGATGGATTGATACCAATGGGTAATGTGGAGTTGCTGCATCTGAAGAGGGGTACACTTTGGAGTCCCCTGACTAGAAATCTGGTCATTAAATTGCAAATTTCTTGCTAGTTCCAACTGATCAAACAAATTTTGAATTAGTTTCATGGGCTTGAGTCTCCAAGCTAATAGAAGTCCTCATAAGCCAAAAGAGATCTCGCAGAGGATTATAGAGATGTCTGATAAAACTTGCAGTAGAGATTACCATTATTAATTTGAGGTATTTTTACCACAGATGTTACAATGTATTGGAGCAGAATTTTTTCCCAAGCCTTTGGGAGGGTACTGCACTGTGGCAAGTGTTCCACAGTGGGTCTCCTGAGTCGTCAAAATCTTGCATAAAACAGTATGTCTCCATTAAAATTTTGATACAATGATTTGGTAGTCTATGGGAAAGCATGTGCTGACAGTGGTTCAAAAGGTGTCTTTGAGGAAAGATGAGGTAATAGGTTGGTTTAAAAGCTGGACTGCTGGCCAAGGATTTCAACTAGGTATATATTTTTTACCTTTCCAGATCCAGACCTTACCCTCTCAAGAAGCCTTTCCCATTGGGAAATGAGGAGGGTGAGTTGCTAAACCTTTGAACTGTATTTCTTGTCATAGGGAAACTGAAAAATAAATTCCCACAGAGATTAAAACTTCATTTGCACTGGTGGGAAAGGTGCAGCTGCAGTGGGAAACTGTTGAGAAACCTCACTGAAGAATGACTTGGCCATGGCTAAATAGAGCCGAGTTTAGAGACTAGAGTTTCACTCGGGATTTTTACATCAATATCTTTCCATCAGATGTTATGCTTTGTTATGCTTTTGTCCCTTCATTTTTGGTCTGAATCCCGTGTGGTCCTGAAGCTGTTTGTATTTTTGCATCAGAGAAAGACATTTAATGTTCAATTATGCAAGAAGCAGCAACAAAAGTATCATCTTTACTTGATGCTCTATGATTAAAGGTTAGACAGTTCTGGGGATTTAACTGAGATGGACATAATTGTGTTTTCCTGTGGGTCTTGTCTTTTCTCTCCTGTTATTTCATCAGCAAAACTCAGTCCCTAAGACTGTCTCTCTTTTTCCATTTCCTTCAGGCCAAAGAGATAGTGGCAATCCAGCGCTCAGAGGCACCAATGAGCAAGATGCCCCGGCAACGTGGGCGCTGGTCCCAGCCAACCAGCAGCATAGAGATGACTGTGAAATCCATGCTTGACTTGAGACAGTTGGAATCCTTCTCTGTTTCCCGCTCTCCAAGTCGAGACTCGCTGTCTCAAAACAGCAATGGGGATGACAGAGAAGAGCATGCTGATCTTCCTGGGCATGTCAACAAAGTAAGGGCAATACTGTGAGGAGGTGAATCTACTGAGTGCACCTGACCTGCATCTCTTCGTTATTACCTATATTTATTACTACCTGATGCCATTCCTCTTCTTGTTAGAGGTGTCCTAAATGACTTCTGAGAAACTTGTTTAGACAACTTTAGTAGTCCTGCAACATGTGTCTCTGCCATCTTATAGCAGAGACTGTGTTGGGATCAAGGTTTCTTTTCAATGACAGGGAAGACCTTACATTTTCTTTTAGCACTTTGATTATTTGTGGCAAAAATAAGCTGAGAAGATGAACTTGGAATTACAGATGTGTACCTGATTACCTGTAAGCTCGCTCTGCTGAGGTGCAGTTTCTTGACTCCAGTAGTCATTGAAATGCGGGTCATATGATTCCCTTAGTTGTGGGCCATGCTAGATTGAGTTCTCTTTAATCTTTGTATTGATGGGTCACAGCAAGTAATGTGTGCTAATACCTCAGAAAGTTAGTGCCTATTTTCCAGTAGCAGTCTGCTCCAGTGCCTAACTTAATTAGAGTTTTTCCTTTGTTTATAACTATGTGATTGAGCTTGTACCATGCAGTAAATCAGTTTTGCAGCTGTGGCCCACAATTTTGTGAATTATGTCTGATCAGTCTATCGAAGGTAATGGAAGAACCTGCTGCCACATGGCTTACACTCCTGACATGTGGTCAAAGGCTACTCTACCAAAGAATTTCAGGGGATTGCAAATGGGAAATTGAACAGAAAAGTACAGCAGTAGTCTGACAAGTTTAGTAAATAAGGAACAGGAAAGACATAGGAGTGCTTTTCTGATCATATTCTGTGCTGTAATGCATATTTTCTGATTCTGCACAGCACTTGCTGATTTAAGGAAAAACTCTACTAATATCTAGTTTTCTCTCCTTTTAATTAAACCAGGTTGGCAGCTCAATACCTCCCCAAGATAATGGGTCTTGCATGCGACCCCAAGTGATTCAGCTCGTGTCTTGTGAAGACGGGATTTTCTCTCAGGAACTGGAACCTTCTGAGAGTGAGGAATGTGTAATCTACCCTGAGCAAGATGAAATCCATCCCACAGACTCTAGCAGGTTAGAAATAAGCTCTCTAATGTGCACAGCTTAGATGTTTCTGTTCTGATTTTCTTACAGCTTGTGTAGTAACTTGGATTAGTTGGCTTACTGCCCGATTGCTGTCAGGCATGTTTAGTTGAGTTTTATGTCAGATGGATCTTAAAGGAATATGAAACTAAGGAGGCACCATTAAAATAATCTTTCCTCTGAGGAAGCTGTACATTAGCAGGCTTCTCCGGGGTTTGTATGTTGAATAAGCAACTTGGGAGTAGCCTTATCTTGGTTGAAATAAGCAAGAGAAAACTTGGAAGCTGGAAAACCACCCAACAGTGACACATACATGGCAGTGAAATGTCTGCCCAGGAGGAATGACAGTACTTTTATTTATGGCAACTCCAACTCTAATTGGACAATAATTTAACATATGTAGTATGTGGTGACTCTTTTATGGGAAATAGAATGGCTTGCATGATATAGATGGAATTGAAAAGGGCACTGGAGACAGTGAAGACCTTTTTTATTCCTTTGCTGTTTCTTCTGTTTTGAGTGTACATAATTTCATTTTTCTGTGCTTCATTTTAGTTTCCTTCCCTGAATTTTATTCTTCCCTTCCCTTCTTAACCTGATCGTAATAACTGTTTAATTTCCTCTGTCTTCTCCTGTTCTGTTACAAAGAGTGGGCTGATAGCTTTAGACAGACTTCTGTGCAAGAGTGCATGCCAAGATTTTGCAGTTGGAGCTGCTAGGTTTTGCCTAGTTTCTCTTTATTTGCATTTTTAATTTTAGTATGATAACATTTGGAGAGAGTAGATCCATATGCTGCACCATCATGTAAGAAAAGGTGGCCCTCTGGTGGTGTTGGATACAGACTGGACACATCATAATGTATACAGAGTTTGTGAGCTGCCAGGGGTAGTTGCCATTCAGTACTGTTGAGTGACTTCTTCATCCTACCTTCCACTGGAGTACATTTGAAACCAAAGTATTTCATAAAGTGGAAAGCTGAAGTCCTTAGGCATCAGGCAAAAGAATGGTGCTGGTGACATTTGGCAAAATAAGATTCATGAAATCACAACAGAAATCAGGAACCTTGTCCTACAACATTGTATTTTTGTACGATGTTCTTTACTAAATTAGTCTTGCTCTAACCCAGAATCTTCTATGTTTTGCATCACGGAAGTAGCCTAAAGAAGAGGTCATGAACATCAAAAAAATAGTGTATTAGAGCTCAAATATGAGGCAAACGAGTTCCTCTCATGCCGGAAGAGGCCTGGGTTTAGTCCCCTTTTCATCATGTAGATGTCTACATTTGTTCCTCACTTGTGTTGGAAACCAAGCCAGGGCAATATGGTGCTGGTGTCTGGTAACCATGGGAACTGACAGTGCCCAGAAAGTCAGACAGTCCCTTTGAGACTTCACTGTCCAAGCTTAATGAAATGCAAAAAATATACTGTATAATGATGGGAGAAATCAACTTCTTTTTCTCTTTAAAGCCTCGTATTTTTAATCAAAGGTGTTACTAACACAGGTAAGGCTGTTAGAATGTACTTCTTTACTGTAAAATAAATATATCTTCTAGTGCCGTATCTTTCCTGTCTCTCTTGTAGTGAGTTTCAGGTTAAAGCATTGCCCCATGGGAAACAAAGTCGAGGTTATCACAGTAATGGATGCCCAGACAAACACAGTCCAGACAGTGCCTGCTCTGTAGATTACAGCAGCAGTCGTCTATCCAGCCCAGACCATCCAAATGAAGGTAAGATGCAAAGACATTCTAAATGTATTTATATGTAAGCTCTTTGTGAGCTGAAGTCACACTCCTGTTAGTCTCACTAGTATTACTGTGAAGATTCATGCACATTTGAACAGGCATTTGGTGAAGCCACTGTAGAACCAGGGGTTGGTGCACTTTCCTTGCTCACCTTTTGGCTTTCTTTTACCTTGCTAGGTAAGGAGGCAGATTTAGTGTTGACTATCCCATAGGCTGTGCTGTTTGTGGGATATGGTAGATTAGAGAATTATTACACTTCATGCTGCCTGACTTTTGCTTCTAGGTTCAATTTAGCATTTTTGTTGAATTAATTTATTTTTTTCAACCTGGCTAATCTTACTCTGATTATGCTGTTACAGCATTGGAGTTCTTTTGCCTTTTCCCAGATTCTGAAAGCACTGAGCCCCTAAGTGTAGATGGTGTTTCAGACCTGGAGGGAGATGAAGGAGAGGAGGATGTAGGTACTAGCATGCCGGAGGGAGACATTCCCCAGACACCTGATCAGGAAAAGTTCCTCAAGGAGCATTTTGGGACCCTGTGCAACACTGATGAAAAAGGTACATGTCTCTGCTCAGTGGGGAGACTTTGTGAGGTCACTTCTGATATTTTTCTCCTGTATAAACCAAACCTGGCTGCAAGTTCTGCTAAGCTTTCACGGGGATGTGTGTGCAGGGCAGGCAAAATGGGGAATAGTGCAGAGAGGCCTAAAGAGTGACGTCTGTTAATTCCACTGGTCTGTGTGTAAGTTTGTGTGGATGAGACGGGTCTGTGTCAGTTTGGGTTAAGTATTGTCCCTGGAATCCTGAAGAGCTGTGCTCTTGTTCCCGGACTGGTTTTCCCTGTTGTCTACGGAGGCATTAAGCTGTGTGTTCACCTCTCCATGGGTGACACGCAGTGGCCTCTAGTGGTGTATCAAGGCATAGCAAATGTCAGAAAAGAAAGGGCTGAAATGCTGCATGGAGGGGCGAGAATTAGAGGAGACATCAGAGTGGCAAAGGAACTGGTCTGTGTTTATCGACCAGCTGCAGAACAAAGCGTATCATTTTACAAATTATAATGATTTCAGGCAGCAATATCTGTGAGTTGTGAGTCTTCATCCCCCCCTTCATCTCCCCCTTCA